CTGGTTTTCATTCATGACGCTGGTTGGCAGCAGCAGTGACCCATCATTAGTCATGAGAGAAAGCAGTGTACTGTGTCACTGGGCTAGGGTGTTCTGGAGGGTAGGTACGGTCAGTGCCGTTTTGGCTTGTACCAAATTCCATTTATAGTGGGTTCATTGGGACATACCCTATCTCAAGTCAGGAAGAATATGTTTTCTGGGAACATTCTTGGCAGGGGCAGGGCAATTCTTACTTTTTTCCTTGGGAACTCATCCCAACAGCATCAGCTCTACTGTATATGACAGAGGATGTTTTGTTCAATACTGTATTCCCTGTACTTGGAGTAAAGTCTGGGACAAAGCAAATTTCTAATAAATATCTGTAGAGTGAATGGCTGGATCTTGTCTGTCAAGAATTCGTATTTGAGCAAGTCCCGAGTCCTTCTGCCACCCTACCCAGTTCCCCAAACCTGAATTGTCTTTTCTAAAACCTGTAGGTGGTTTTTGATGCATACGGGATAGTCATCACTGCCTGCTCCTACTTCCTAACAGGAAGCATTTGGAAACCTCACTAGATTTTTTTAAAACGTTAAATTTCTCTAATACTATTTTTGCACTAAACTGCTTCCTACCCAAATTGAATTTTCTAACAAATTGCACTGGACATTGTTATGTAGATTCATGTGTGTCACCAGAGGTTTAGTGAACCTTCTTTTACCCTTCCTTTTCTGCATTCTGAATATATTTGCAGAATTTTGAGAAATACTGCATTAGGATCTATCTCTTATGAAAATACTCATTGTCTAGAAAATTATTGCTAACTTATATGTAACCAAAATTGTTAGTATCATTGTTCACTGCCTCTTTATGATCTTCAGTCTTCTGGAGATACACATGTTAATTCTGTTTTTGCTTCTCTGAATTATTTGTATTTTATATTATGAGTAAAACTTGCTCTTGGAATCATCTCATACCAGAATTCACCTCTTGCTTGAACATCTGTTTGACAACTGGATTTCATATAGCGCGACAGACTTCCACCTTTGGGTGTTTTGGGTCAGGCTGATGTCAGCTCTCCATCCCTTTGAAATTGGAGGTATCTGTGAACTATGGGTTTCTCCCTTTTATTCTCATAGTTCAGAGTTAAAGGCTGTATGTCTAGAGTTCGGAAGTACAAAGTTATAGGAATTAAAATCCTAAGGATATCTAGTTTTACTCTGCAATAGTCAACCAGTTTAGTGATTTTCTGCTGAAGAAATTATAATACAAGTTGCAGAATTTGCTTGCTCTCTTGCAGAAAGCAGGACAAAATGGTTTTAAGTACCTTTGCATATACCTTGAATGTATGAAATATTTTTCTGTAGAACAGAAACAACCCAATTTCCAGGTCAAGCATGGTGATGCAGGCCCATAATCCCAGCATATGGGAGGCTGAGGCAGGAGGATCGCTGTGTTCAAGGCTAGCCTGGGCTACAAAGTGAGTTCAAGGCCAGCCTGAACTGGAAAGTGAAATCCTGGCATAAAATACAAAAACCAAAAAGAAACAAAACTCAATCACTATTTTTTTTCTGTTTTCTAGGATCAAATTTGGAGGCAATAGGTCTTTTGAGAACTGTATCCTAATGGCTGTTTTTAAAGTTTTCTCTACATGCCCTTTATCCAAAAGGTGTGTACTTATTTCTGCCATGTGCTTAGAACTATTTACACTTACGTGCTTTAGGTGATCAAATATGTTGAGAAGATATTTTCAGAGACATTTATTACACTCAGTGGGTGAGACCAGAAGCTGCTTGATGGAAAGAAACTTTTAAGAAAAGGCTGGAGGATGGGTACGACTTCAACATGTGGACTCTGAGCAGGAGAAAGGAAAGAATTCTGAGGACGGAGAACAGGATAGGTACGGATAGACAAGGGGTGAAGACACGGATAGTATAGGTCTCATTTTAAGGACCAGGAAAGAAATCCACGAGACTAAAAGGGAAAGGAAGATATGGGCAGACATTGTTAGCAATAGAAGGAAATTTTCAGAGTCCTTCAAATCTCTCACTTGAAGCTCTGATGTCTAGCACTTTGGAATAAATATAGAAAAATGTGAAAGAATTTATGCCAGAAAAAATTATAGTAAGTAGCATTTTATCCCTGTAAAAGGTAATTTAACTTATAAATTAGGGACTGGGAAACTCATTTTCCTGACTTCAAATAAAATGATCTTCAAGATGTGTACTGGATTTGTGTTTGTTGCAATCACAGATCATCGCTCGTTTTTGGGGTGAGAAAGGCTGACATACCTTAAAACCTTTAAATAGGATACCGTGGCTGAGGTTAATTAACCTCCTTACACAGCTAGCATTCGTAGGGCATGGCAATCTGGTCACAGCAATCTGCTTAGGAAATGTCACCAGTGTGTGTGAACACCAACAGCAGATCTGTTTCATACTTTTAGAAACTGCAGTTTTCCAAGACTGCCAATTGCAGTGGCAGCACACTGAAAGTTAAGTCTCAAAAAAGGTTCAAGTTCTTAAATGACAAACAGAATACAAAAAAAAAAAAAAAAAAACTTTCAAAAATTTTAATACCAAGTGATGGGGGGATTTAGCTCCCAGCGTAAGCACCTGCCTGGGAGCCTGCAGTCGGGAGTTCAATCCCCGGTACCAAAAAAAACCCAAAAATCCTAATACCATAAGATACATTTTTAAAAAAATGTGTATCTTACATGAGAAACTTTTATTCTTTCCACCGTCCTCCCCTAAAAACTCGAGGACTTTGACTGTATTATAATGTGCCTATTTTCAAAAAGCTTCAATTTATAGAAATCCTTATTTTTGCATTTATAACAGACATTGGTTTTCAAGTATGCACGTATGCAGTAAAGCAAGGTTAGCTGTTTCTATTTAACCAAAGATTACCCACATAGAAAAGGTGATTCTGAGTCACATCATGGGATCGCCAGCAAGCAGTCTTGTTTTCTACTGCTTTTCTAAAGCAGGAAGAGACTGTAGATTTATGTGCTCTGTGATACCAGAATATCAGAGAAATGCTTCCGCGTCCTTCAAGGTAAAAACACCTGCCCTAGAGAACGATGACTGAAATGTTATATTAAGGCAGGGTTCTGCAGCAAACCAGAACCAGTAAGTTTTGTATACATTCAGAGATTTAAGGAACTGGGTGTGATGGTGGTGACTGTCAGGACCCAAACTGCCAGGCAGGGGACAGACAGTTGACGCTGCCAGAGTCTGAGGCTGCCTGGGTGCAGAGTTCTCTGTTACCCATGAGACTTCAGTCCTTGCTATAAGGGCTAAGTGACTGGCCTGGGGCCCCCCACAGCAGGAAGGATGGTGTGTTTTACCTCGGTCTACTGATTCAAGTATCACACACATCCAAAAGACGTTTTCATAGTTACGTCCGACTGACCAGGAACTAGGTATAGAGGCCCAGCCAAGTCCACAGAGAGGAGGAGCCCCTGCACTGGCCAAGAGCCAACATGTTCAGATATTAGTGATTACTAATCCTTGCGGAATAGAACACAATTGAACTTGTCACTTCCTTGTTTATACTGAAACTGCCCATATTTGACTATTTTGGCCTGCGGAAAGGAGAGCAATAAAGCTACCATTTTCATGGAGGTGCTTATCAGAAACAAACTTCTCTTACTGTCAGTTTCTTTGGAAAACCTCGAGAAGTCAGCACAAAGTGGCACACTTTTGACTAAGCAATATTTGTTAAATGTTCACTAATGAAAAATGATACAAAACTCAGGCTGTCTACAGACAGACTGGTTTTTCCCCCTTCCCAGCAAAATATCAGCATGAACTTTTCATTTAAAACTTTCCAAAAAAGCCTTTTAGCCCCACTGGGTCTATGACGCAATGCATAAACTACATCGCTAATTAATTTTCTATAAAGGACATTATACCTTAAATAAATTAATCTCATACATTAAGTAAATTAATCCCATACTTTTCCAGAATGTTCTACTCTTGAGTACTATAAAAAGCAAAAGCATTTTCCTTTTGTAAACTATTCTTGGAATATTTCATATGGATTTAAATAAAAACATATTTAGTGTTAATTCTATACATTAACATGGAAATACTTTTAGATTTGCTGGAATTAAGTGAAAAGAGGAACTACCAAGACTGACATCATTCTTCATTTTCTTTTCCCTCTGAAAGCAGTGGAGATGAAGGAAAAGGAAGCATCTATTGTACTGAGAGAAATACTACGGAATACACATCATTCCCACAATTGCTTCTGGGATAGCTACTAACAGAATTTTTAGATTTAATGTCCCTCTCTTAGAAGATGTCTTACCAGCTATTTGATAGATGAGTTTTAGCGGAAATGATAAATGTGTGATCGCCTTTGGTTCACATGAACGTCAAGAGTGCTTTTTTTAAAGCAAAATTTTAGGTAAGCAACCTAAGCGGGACTTGGGATAATTAAAAGGACAATTTATAATACTGACAGACAATAAGTATTAAAGGAATGCTAAACGCTAACTTTACCTCACTCTCAACAAGGAACATCCTGATAGCCTTTCTGAATTCTAAACAGGATTAAAATTATCATGTTTTGACTTTTTAAAAATTTACAATTGTTGTACTTCTTATAAAGAGACAAGTTTTAAAACAGTGTTGCCCAGAACCTTATATTTCAACAAAGAACTATCTTAGATCCAGCAAAAAGAATCTTATATTTATCAAATGAAAAATGAAAAAATTGTCACAAAGCATCACCTATGAAAATTTCATTAAGATCTATATTATCTAAAGTTGTTCTATAATTTTTTATTCAGGTATTTTGTGGAATTCACATCTTTTTCTTACAGCACACATAACACTGTAGGCCACGAGAGGCTGCAGCACTAGTATTGTTTAATTAGCAGCAAATTAATATTTTAAGTCTGGGCATCTGGACAATAAATAGCCTGTTCCTTTGGATGTGAATGTTTAAAATGTAGTATCACTGCAGCTTCAGAAATGGGATCGCTATTTTACAGAGCTTATACACACACACAAAAATATGATCTTTATCTATATTTTATACAAATACAACAGTAGTTTGTGAATACATTTTTAAGTACATGATATACATGATAAGCCACTTGATTTCCCAATATCACAGAATAGCAATTTTAAATGCAATAAAAATATACAAAATTCAGTCTGGAATGCAGGTTTTTTTTTTCTTTTCTATTATGACTCAAAACTTTACCATTAGAACATTTTTAGAGTACTAGTCCAAACACTTTTTCATTAGCTAAAAATACAATTTCAGCAGTCCAGCTTATGGTCAGGCATGATGCAATCCATTTTCTAATGGATCCCCAGTTTTTGTTAAATTCAAAGGGCTGTTAGTAATTTACAGCATGTTCTTCACTCCACACCCTATATAATAAGCCCACTTTCCGTTCTGAGTTACAGTCACCTTGTGGATAAAAGCTGGGTTTGTTCTGGTAACATTTGCATGTCCAAGATCTCCTTTTGCAAGTGCACACAAATACATTGTGGTGGTGTAAAAGTTTGTTAATGACATATTAAGTCACAGTATAAAAATATATTGTACACTTTTACACCTAATGTAGTCCTTTTCCTATGAATAAAAAAATACAACTGAACAAGACAGAGAAGTTTGTAGCACCATGGTGAAGAGTTGTGTCCCAGGTTACATTAGCAGCATGACCCAGTGCAACACTGCAGGAGTATTTCTGAGAAGATAGACATTCATTCTGGTTCAACTGTACCACTGAAGCTTATTCAATGAAGTGTTTACATTAGCAATAGTTCTGTGTCATTTCTAGAGCTATGTAACTTATCAAAAGATATGGCCTCTGATCCTCAGAAGGTGGATAATGTTGTGAAAAGGCCTGACGGTGATTTAAAGGTGCCATTAACAAGGTTATCTTGTTTTATATGATCCCAAAGGAGCTCTCTGTGGGCTTTTAGCATGAAAATACACAACACAACTTATGTAGATCTATGTAATCTAAACAGACTATCTGTGTTGCAGAAATGGCTGACACAGAGTGAGGAAAAACAAGACAAACCCACTCCAGCACTCAATTGTCAGAGCAAACAGTGCCACTGCTAATGCTGAATACTCAATATTTGAAAGACCTCCTCCAATGTCACATGGATCTCAGTAGGCTAGAAGCAACTTGGGTGAACTGGTATTTAACTTACGTACTGGGAAGACAGTGTGCTTTGAGACACGTAAACCTTGTAAAAAAATAAACCATTGTAAAACCGTATGAAAAGACACACACTGATTCTGTGCAATATAGCAAATTGATAAGAAAACACTGTAAAAATGTACCTGTTTAAAATACCATCTACCATTTTGTACACAAAGCATTATATATCAAAGGCCTACATATATATCATCTAATGGCACTTGAGACATTATAATAAGTCTTAAAATAAAAGGCATAACCTATAACAAAGTTTCTGTAAAGGTTTAGATTCATTTTGAAAGTGCTATATCTTGTAATATGTGTAGTATAGAGGCTGACCAAGCTCTATTTAAAAAAAAAATATATTGGCCTAAAGTATGTGTATTGCTCACTAGATGGATGATCCTGAAAATATGTACTCTATAACATTCATTATTAGCTTAATAAAGCAATCAGCTCTGGCTCATGTTTCAGTCAGTATATGGTTTTTAAAAACCTCTACTGTCCAATTTAACACAATATATCACTATATTCCACAAAGGACTAAGGAAAATAAAGCACAAGCAACAAATAGGCAAAAATACACAGCTTGAAAAAAACACGAATTGCAATTAAAAACTTGCACAAAGAGTAGTGTATGATCAGACAGGACAACTGCAACTTTACAAAAATGAACTTGGTAACAGGGTTTCAAAATGAAAGTTTTAACAGTGACCGATAACTATATGACACTTGTGTAAATCAGTGGGTAATATTGCTTACAGTGCCAAGATCTTTCCACATTCGTACTTCTCTGTTTGGTGATCTAGTCTGTATCCACATATGGAAGTCAAACTGAATGAGGTTCAATATCTTGTCTGAGGTCCAAATTCCATACTAAAATATTTTTATTTAAAGTTAATCTCTCTCTCTCTCTTGTTTTAAACCAAGCTAAGGCACTACCAGGAATTTCAAAGAGGATGATTCTGGCCACTGAAGAATGAAAACAGACAAAAACAAATAAAATTTTTCTAAGAAAAAAACACCCACCCAATTATGTGTTACATCCTTGCAAGAACACTGTGCAATTTAACAGATCTGCCTCATCTTTAACAGAAACTCTACCGAAAAGCGTTTAGTGACCACTGCAGTCAATTGAAAAATACAATTAAAATTTTAACTGAATTCTCTCTTCAAGTGTTAATTTCAAGTCTGTGTGGCAGCAACAGGCAAAACGGTGTGCACAGAATTAAGATCCCATAATCACAACTGTAACACGCGTGCCTTGGAAGGTGTGCCTCCATGTGATAGAGTTCCTTGCAGGGTGAGATACGTGGTGGCATCCCCATTTCCCAAATGCTTTACTTTATAAACTGTAACACTCCCTTTTTCTATTAGCAGTGAAATACAGCCTATGAAGGCCAACGTCTCGGTTTAGGCAAATTTTAGGATAAAGCAGTGCTTTCACACCCGCTATCTGTGATTGCTATTTAAAAGCAGGGTTTCTATACACTTGTGCTCTCTCACCAAATTTCTTTTTGTATTTTTAATGGTGATTAAAGCAATATTGAACACTAATCATTCAATTAGATTTAGGTAAGCAATCTGTTTCATAGAAACTAAAGGCAGCGGTAAGGAAGCAGAGCAAAAAGCCTACTTTCAGAGCAAATATGCTCCCAACCAAAAGCTTAGGAGCAGTTGGAAAAATTTAAAAATGCATCTCCTTATTAACATATATAATTTTAATGCCTTTGGAACACACTTTAATAAAATGTAATTTTTCATAATAAACTTTAAATACATAGGTATAAAAACTACTGCTCCTAGGATTAAAAAAAAAATAGGAGCATGATAAAATACCAGGAGCCAAAGCTCCTTCAGAGAGCAACTTTGATTCTATGAAGTGCGATATGTGTGTATATATATAATATATATAGTGAAACCCCCATTTACATTATTACAATTTACATTTCTCCACAAATTATACTATTCCCAAATATTTTAAATAATGTATTATACTCAGTAATCTGCACTCATTTTTGAAATTCTTGGTAAACATTGCAATCTGCAGAGATAATTGCCCTTTTAAAAGGGGAAGTTGTTCCCATCTAGGGCTAATGAGTGCTTAGAAATATTTTTCTTTTTTTAAAGAGATATATACTCTTCTATAACCCTCTCCCCGCTTACCTCTGCCCCTAAAGGACGAGGTCCCAAAATAAGGTGTTAACATGTGCTTACTAGATATGTTTCTTAGGTTGATGTCCCAAATGACCCTTTAAAAAACATAATTGGACCTTTGAGAAGCCTATGGTGGTTGCCTAAAGTGAAGACAGCCCACAACTATTCTACTCAGTGAAACGATATTCCTGATTGTTACTGTCACATTAATTAAGATGATAGTGCTTGTCTGACTATGCTTTGCTACCCTCGACAAATTCAACTTACAACGTTTCCCATTTTCCAGAGATGTGTAAAAGTGGGGTTTTACTGTATATATTTTTAGTTTGCTTAAATTCTTAAATTGTTTTAACTTCAACGTCTCCATCTGAAAACAGTAAAGAAAAGATGGATTTGCATGTACTAAGAAAAATATCGTGGGGCAAGGAATTTGTTTTTGTATTCTGCTTTTGGCTCTTAAAGAAACATAAATCATACTCAGCAGTAAGGGGCGTAGGTGATATGCTCTTACTTTACTCCTGACGAGTCTAATTTTCAACCTTGGCAATGGCAGACAGGATACTCACACACTTTCCAAGGTTTAACGTGTACTTAACATCTACCTTCCTGTTCAGTTAATCACACCTTACAAGGCTGAGACAGTCCACTCTGAGTTTAACACACTACTGTCTACAGTTCCGTAACAGCTGTAGAGTCTGGACTGTGGACCAACAGTCAAAAAACAAAACAAAACAAAACACAACACAACACTGCTGGTGCACCTGAGCCACCAACTGGCTGTGAAAGGCAGAAAAGATTAAGGACAGCTACCTACATATACTTTCCTTGAAGACCTGACATGCCACTAGCTATTAATATTATTAAATGGAAAGACAGCAAGTCAAGCAGGTTGAACTATAGCAAAAGAGTAATGAAGGGCCAACTGTTATGGAACACAGAGACATGTCACCGTCTTAGGATCTCTTTTTGCTACAAACAGTGGTACTCTGTGTTTTGGTTTTGTTTTCCTTACACATTCTGTATTTTAGGAAATATCTTCCAAGACAATAGTAAGACTTCAAAATATACTGACCTGAAATTATGGTATATCTAAGAAATATCTGTTATCTTTCCAAACTGTATTAATTCATTTAAAACACTTGATTACAATTTCATTGCTAGCAAAATGTTTAAAACTCTGTTATTCACATGGAATATACATAAAGATTTTTATGTTGTATTGCAAAAAGTTTTTAAAGAGCCAAATGTCAACAGGCAGAGCCACTGTTATTAGACAAAAATGGAATTTTTAGATCTAAAAGTAATTTGAACATGGGACTTGTATAACTTTATTAATAACAATGGCTTTCCTATATGAAATAAAACTTTTAGACTATGACAGTTGGCAGTGAATCAGGACAAAATACCCAGGTAAACATAACTGAACATGAATGGTTCCAAAGCTCATTTTAAAAGCTAGTTTCTATTTTGTACTGGCTTAATGAAAACTGGTATTATACAAAAGCAGAAACTTTTATACTGTCTTAAAAGTAGGCACTAAAATAAAATGGTCATCTAAGGCAGAGCTACACATATGTTTCTTTAATACAGCCACGTCCCACAATCCTACTGAAAAGCCTGGTGGAAACGTGGCAAGGTGGTGCTTGTGCTTAAACTACTGGTGAAAGCTGCTGAGAGTGAGTGCAGAGACCCAAGACCTATAGTGTTTGCAGGATCCTGAAGATCCTGTGTCTGTGTGGGGAGCTGAGAAACAGAAGAGTGTGCTTCGTCTTGGGAATAGTTCATTCCGAGGCTCCCCACTGACAGAGGGTTATAGGCAGGACCATTTAATGGTATGAAATTAAACAACTGAGAAAAATCCAATGCTGGTGTGTTGAGGGGGTCACTGATCGAGACAGAGCTTTTTGACAGGGAAAGGTCTCCTGCACCATCATCTAGGGACCCGCTCTGAGGATCCAACCCCAGCTTAGATGATGATGCTGGAGAATCCTGCGATGAAGAGGGTATGCCACCTTGTAACTCCATCAGGTAACTCTCAATTTCCCCCTTTAATGGCTGTTCTTTTTCAGGAATAGAAATTGCGTATGAGGTAGAACTGAATGGATATTTGAAAGAAAGGTGGTGAGAGGGATGAACAGCATCCATATCTATTGGGCATGTCATTCCCAAAGGTAAGGTTGTGATCATTTGGTGAGCAGATCCCGAGCTCTGCATGGACTGAAATGGAGTGTTATAGAGGTTCAGCTGCAAAGTGTTTGTGAATGGCTTTGATAACAGTTCACTGGAAGGTAAGGACATCACCGGAAGGAGCTCATCTTTTATAGGCACAGACACGTTGCAGGTAAATGGGTCTAGGAAATCCACGGGTTCAGTTTTAACCTTCAGAAGCTCTTGATTGTGACTCTTCTTCATGTGTCGAGTCAGGTGATCCTTCCGTCCGAACCTCTGTGCACAGTACTGACAGAGGAAGTCCTTTCTTCCCGTGTGCACCACCATGTGTCTCCGGACGTCCTTCCGGGTGTAGAACCTGCGGTCACAGTGCTCGCACTGGTGCTTCTTTTCTTTTACACCCCCGGATGACTTGCCTGCGTGGGATTTAAGGTGCTCCAGAAGCACTCCTGTGCTTTCGAAAGTCTGCAAACACACCTTGCAGGTGAGGTCGCCACTGGTGGCCGCATGCAAGGCCAAGTGTCGTTTAAACCCAAGCTTAGTATTATAGTTCTTGCCACACTCTTCACACTTAAACGTCTCTTTGTTAGGGTCATGTGTATGGAGGTGATTCTTCAGATGATCTTTCCGGTGAAACATTTTCTCACAATAATTACACTTGTGGGTTTTCTCAGGAGAGTGAGTAGCCATGTGCCTTTAAACACAGATATAGTCTGTAAGTAATTATCACAATGAAAATGGTCTAAACACTTCTAAAATGGGAGCTAGCTAATATGCTAACACAGAACTCCCTTACTAGTGGAAACCACATAACTTAAAATGTACCATGAGGACAGTCAGTACACCTACATCCTACAAAACTTGAGCCATTTAAATTGCCACTTCAGTTTTTGCTGATTCTTAGCTATCACTACAAAAGCAAATGAGCAAGACTGAATATACTCACGTAAATACACTTTGCTGCTTGTAATTTCTCTTTACAAACGGAAACTGTATTGTCATTAAGCATTTTATTTAAAAGCCGAAAGAGACTAACACATAATAGTATGTGATTAGAATATTAAAAACTAGCCAAGGTCTAATCTACTTAACATTTCCTCTCTGCAAATAGCTGAAAAATGTGTTTACAAATACATACGTTTACAATGGCTTCAAATGGCCAACATAAGAGAAAATATAATCTGAAAGACAAATAGAGTTTAATACCTTTGTAATTTGTACTTAGAAACAAAGGCCTTGGTGCAGTCTTGTTGTGTGCACTTGTAGGGCCTCTCTCCTGTGTGAGAGTAGGAGTGAACCTTTAATTTCTCAACACTGTTAAAGGCCTTGTCACACAGTTGGCAAGGGAAGTTTTTTCTTGGTTTGGTTTCGCCACGCTTACGTTTCCCTGAAGGGACTTTCTGGGTATCTCTTACTGCTGACAAATCACCAGGGATGACAGTGGCCATCGCAGCCTAAACCAGGCCTTCTTGTTGGACACTTGGGAACTGCCCAACTCCACTAAATGATAGAGCTTTAGGTGGCTTCTCAAGTTTCATGTGGTCGTAAAAGAAAGCAAAAAGGGACTGGAAAAAAAAATAAGAAACAACTAGTTTGTAACTAAACTTAATTTAAAAAAGTTTTAAAATTTGCTATGTGATGCTTTTGAATTAAAAAAGAAACTATAAAATGGATTCAGCTGGTCTAATGTAATATCTATAGGCTTCTTTATTATTTGTCAAAACACGTATTATCGCATTGCTCAGAATGAACAGTTCATACACATCCCGAAATTCCATCTGACAAACGTACTTAGGCATCGCAGTAATGACCGTGGGAACTCTTTGGAAGCATCAAAACATGGCTGTCATAGTGGCATTATTAAGCTTCAGTTTTCACAGAGGATTAGACAACACAAATCTGACTAAAAATGTAAAAATGTTGCAGGAAAATTATTTTAATTTGTCCATGTCAGATCTAGTTACACTCTGTGATAGGAACAAACTGATAAACAATGAATGCTGTTTTGAGTCCCTTAGACACCATGGAGTCTATAAAAGAAGTACTTTAAAGGCCAGACACTGGAGGCCTGAAAGAGGTGAATGTACCACCCAGAGTGACAATTTACACCAGCATCTGTTCTCCTCAGAGAGATTCGTGAGTCAAGAGCAAACGTCGTCTATCTTAACAAGCACACACGCCTAAACCTGTGAAACCTTTCGATGTTATATGAGGTAACGAGCATGGTTCCCTGTTGGTTGGGGAGATGCTGCTTAATTTTCCTCAATGTTTTTATATCATGAAGAACAGCTATGCTCGCTGGGCCCGCTGGGGTCAGCAGGTGAGCTGGAGTCCTCAAGCCTCCCAGCAGCTGAGGTCTGGGCTTTGACACACCTTTAACCTTGGTGCAGTGTGTCTGTTTGTGACTTCTGATACCACACAATGTCTGTGCAAGAATGCACCCTCACAGAGGTGCTCCGAAGGGTAGAGATTTGTCAGAGTTTCATTTACTGATGCTGTGAGGAGAATGAAATGTATACACTGTACAGCAAAGAGTATGTCTATTTAAATTTAAACAGAAAATTAAAGCTGAGTTAAAACCTATACAGACAGGAAATATCAACTCTTTCTCAGACTAAGGGAACAATCTCTCTGAAATCTGAATTGATAATATGAGTTAAATGATTCCTTAAAATTTCCTCAAGGCAATTTATAGAGTTACTTTTAAGACTGCAGAAATGATACTAACAGTAACCTCCCTTTAAAAAGATCTGATCTTTAAATTGAAAACTTGAGGGGGCTGGGGATTTAGCTCAGCGGCATAAGTGCCTGCCTTGCAAGCAGGCAGTCATGAGTTTGATCCCCGGTACCGATAAAAAGGAAAAAGACAAAAAAAAAAAAAAAAAAAAAGAAAACTTGAATGTGATTAAATGACTTATCAATTACTAACTGAATCTATATATTTAAAAAATAAAAACCAACCTTGTATTTTGTTCTGGCATTACACTGACACTGCCTTCACAAATTAAGGTACACTCACTTTCACAGATTTGTTATATTTTTATAGAAGCTCTGCAAAATTAAGTGTATGCTATAATAGGTCCCTTATATTTTAATGTAGATATTGTACCTATGTAGACAAAACACAGCTAAGACCCACTAATTTGACTAAAATAGTAGAAGCATGTAAGAAAAGCTAGTCAAGTATCTTCTTGATTAGGTAGATATAAGCAAGGTCTTCGTGTTGTTCAAAATATTTGAAAGTCCTCTGTGCAGTTTAAAAATGACATTTACACAATGCATCTGACATTAGCAATGCTAACACTGTATATTTCTTCTGGTTTTGGATTTTCTTGTGCTTTGAAAAAGAAAAAGGACTTACTCTTTTCCTTTTACAGTCTTGTTCATAAGATAGCTTCCCTGCCTCCCTTATAAACTTATGTAGCCATTCTGTCCATATTGTAAACTGTTATAAAGTATTCTGTATTGGCAGGAGAAAAAACTGATTTTCAATTATTTGATTCCTTAGTGTGATGCTTTCATGCATTTAATTAGAAGATCATTTTCAACTGTGAAGAAAAATGGGATGCCAAGTATATAAATCCTTGCATATAACTAAAAGCTGAAAATATCTCAAAGATTGGTGGTAACTGCCACTGTGTTACAAGATCCAACTGTAATGCGGAGAATCCTAATTGAAAAAAATTACTTCTGTATTACTGGGAAAAATGTATTAAAAGTGCATCATAAAACAATTTACAAACATTTGATATTAAAATTGACTATACTCAATATGGAGTAACAGATGAATTATTATCTTTAGATGTACATACTGAGCAATGAAGAACTGCACTAATTCCAAATATTACACTTTCCTAAGACCAGCTGAAATTTTATCATGGCTAATACCTTTTCATCTTAATAAATTACAGAACTCCAATTAGTTATTACAGGTGCATTTAAATCTATCGGATAAATAAAATGCTGTAAATGCAATATACAATAAAAGACCACATTCATAATATGTATATCAACTAGATACATTAAAGATGCATGCACAGAATTAGTGATTTTCGTTTGATGTTCACCTGATTATAGATGGAAAAGCCTCAGACTCTGATCTTAGCCAGTCCCATTAACTCTTCGTGGAAGAGAGTGGAATCCAATCTTTCCCATTTTGGCCAATCTATGGTTGGGGAGGAAAAAAAAAAAAACAATGGACTATACTCTAAGCAGAACTAGCATGTAAGTGACAGAAAATACAGGATGAAAGAATTGCAGTTTCATGGCACATGCTTACATTCCATACTCTGCTGACAATTCATGCATTTTTACCAGTTGCATATTTTTATTAGTTCTAAGCACATTTACATGATCAAATAAATGCAGAAATAAAAAAGTAAAACAGTATTACCTAGATAAATGGCATTTTGTGATGCTGAATGACTCCCCACTTGTTTCCCAAATTCAATTTAGATTTTTTAAAAAACCTCACTTGCCTACCAAAAGAAATGGATATTAGGATCACTATCTGTAAACGAAGCTAATCAAAATTTCACTAAGCAGGGGATGAACTCAGTTCCCTCTTGGAGCAGCATCGGTAATGGCACCTGTCTCACGTAGACAGCACTCCCACCACGCACACTTGGCAGGTGGGCTTCTAAACTCCACATTCTGTTATCTGCTAATTTATTTTTAATAATACTGTAAGGGTTGGTGAAGTGCAGCAACAATTGTGTACTGTTTAGATTTCAAAAACATTTAAAAACAAGAGAAATTAAATATAGGTTTGATTCTGGAGCAGGAGGTATCAGAAAAAAAGCATAACTTGGTTTACAAGATCACTGTTGAAAAATCTTAAAACAGCTTAAAGCACCTAACAGAAATGATTTTTAGTAGACTGTGAGCACACACAGAAAAAAATATTAATAATTTGTGATTGTGCTAATAAACATTTAAAAAGTCAAAAGACAGAAAGATCTAAAATAATCTGTTATAGAAAGTACAAAGCACACATTTGGAAGATGAACGTCTAGAAATCATTGTAAGAACTTGAGATGGGAATACAAATCAAACAGATAAAACACAACAACAAAAGGATATGTCAATGACAGATTAAGGAAAAATAACTTCACAGCTCAAACACCAATCTAATAATTTCCCTTAAAATAAAATTTTCAATCTTTCAGAATTTGATGACATATAAATAAAATGAGGACATTCAAGCATCATTATAAAACTTCTAGGGAAGATATGTGAAAACAGTGTTATTATCACAGTGTAAAAGACAAGAAAAATAAAAAGTTAGACCAATAAATCATTTTAAAAAGTTAAAAGCAAAAGCTCCATTCCTTTATAAAGCACAGGGCATGCAAAAGTGGAAGAACTGAATTCTGCACATCAAAATTGCAAAAACAGTGAAATTAATTTTGTGAATACTTACTTGCCCAGAGCACATAGTTTTGGAGGGGAGGTAAGAATATGCAAGACCGTTTTGTGTATTATGCTGTCTTAATAATGTGAGTGCAGTGTTTCCACCTTTGATACAGTCCCTCCCTGGAGTTCAGAGAACGTGAGGCGTGGACATATCTACCACCACTGCCATCTTAGATCAAAGGCAACAAAAGCTCAAAAATGTGACAGTATTTATGGTGTCGAAAAGGACCGCTGACACCTTTACACAATTTCACTTTTACTGCATTTTATGCCAAGAGTGGCTTAGCCAAGCCATCTGCAATTGGATAAATCCTGTCACTACACTGAAACGACTGGACAAGGGGACAATACCGGTTTTCTCCTTTAGAGCTTCTGGCTATGATCTCTAAGAAGAAATAAATTTTAAGACTTAAAAAGTTTAAAAGATGATTTATAAAGTAAATTTTATGTAATTTATTTTTCTTTTTTCAACCAATATAAATTTTATTGGCTTTCAAATACATTCTTAATTTTTATTTATAACTATTCAATGATATTTTTCAATAGAAATACTTTATTTTAATATAGTTTAAACTTATGAATCTTGTTTGGAGATATTCCAACACAGCCTATAAATTATCCATGCTATATACTATATATATATACAGTTTTAAATCAAATAATAATGCCAAAATTTTAAGTTATCTTAAAACCTAACTCCCAAATTATGGTTAATGTCTCTAAATTCAATCAATTTTGAATTCTTTTAAGTTGACAAATCATCAAAGAACTGTTAATTATTCCCAAAACAAAGGAAATAAGGTGTTAGTTAGAGTGAACTATTATTTGGACTATCTATAGTTATGGAATCCTAACTAAAATTTCAACTAACATGATTTGTATTTTTTTTTTTTTTTTGGTCTTTCTCCTTTTTTTATCGGTACCGGGGATCGAACTCACGACCGCCTGCTTGCAAGGCGCTTATGCCGCTGAGCTAAATCCTCAGCCCCTGTATGTTCTCTTTTATAGGACAAATAAAAACCTTTTAAAAGCATTGGGATTACAGTTGTGAAGTTTGCTATCAAACTTACACTTGTACTTTAAAAAAAAAAAGTTAAAGGGATTTTCGAAGGATGAAAATGCTTCTTTGCCTTGTTCTGAAGAATTGTGAAGAAGATAAAAAGCACATACACCCATTTTAACTGCTCTACAATAGACAGTGTTTCAGAAGACCCTCCAGGTTCTGCTGGCACTGCAGCAGGCACTGTTCCTGCCACAGGAATGGTGTTAGGGGAAACACTGCACGTTCATGTGCACACACATAGGTTTACCCTCCTGCGTTTTATGTTATTCTAAAACAGTGACTCACACAGAAAAATAACCAAAAATGAATGACACATCAGAAAAAGACCAGTTTCTATGAGATGCCATTTAAAAACAGATCTGCAGTTAAACTTTCTATATTTTAAATTATTATTATTATCATTTTGTTGAGAAAGTCTTGCTGTACCTTCCAAGCTGGCCTTGAACTCATGGTTTTGTAGCCTAGGCTAGTCTCCAATTTGTTGTAATCCTGCTGTCTCAGGCCTTCAGAGTGCTGGGATTACAGGCATTCACCACCTAACCAAGCTTAAATTCTACAATTTTGATAGTCACTTTGTTAACAGTTGTAAACTTTCACAACACTTACCTGCATCAAAAATTGTTTCATGTTTGAAAGTCAAAGAGATTCTGCTAAAGGCATAGCTAATCAATCATCAAGCTTTTTCTCCTTATGCTAGTCATAAAATATTAATAATCAATTCAGAATTGTCCACATCTGCTTAAAACATGTTTTCCATGGAGAGTAAATAAGGTAGACTACAAAAGGGAACTTACCAGTTGATAATGTTTTTTTTTTTTTAATCTTTTTTTTTCGTTTTTACCGGTACCAGGGATTGAACTCACGACTGCCTGCTTGCAAGGCAGGCGCTTATGCTGCTGAGCTAAATCCCCAGCCCCTAGTTGATAATGTTTTAAATTTACATGTATAAAACATTAATATGAGTTTTGAAAAATATGAAGGAATTAACAGGAAAACAAATGAAGAGATCAATTTTAAAGGACAACACATACTTGGAATATTTTTTAAAGACAACTTCAATGATTGTGTAACAATTTGGAAATGCTTGCTTTGGTCAATTACCGTAGACCTGTAAAATCACTTTCAGTAAAGAATAAAAATACTATCTGGCAATTACAGAAATCTAAGAGAGAGCAAACAGTAGACTCAGGCAGCAAAGAGCAGCACCTTCGCAGTTTTACTCACTGCAAAAGGCAGTAAAGTAACTGCTGAATGAATGAAAAAAAAAAAAAAAACAGGGCAGGTGTTCACAGGTCATACGATGACCTAGTTTGCTCAGCTGCAGCAGACGACACGGAACACACATATTCCAGTCAAAGACAGAAGAGTACAGATACAACTGGGTTCAACAACTTGAGGAACAGGAAGGTACTTTGTTGAAAATTAACCATTTGAAGTCTTAGATTAAAATAATAGCAATTCCTATATTTTGCTTCAGAAAATAAGGCTTCTCTAGAGGATTGCAGGATCAAATAGCCTAAGTAAAGATCAGCTAAATATCAAGCAGCTCGAGTAAATAACAGCAATCAAGCCTCTATCCTAGTGAAAATATCCAAAGTGAAAGCATGCACTCAGGACAGACCAGGACAGATGGAAACACAGGCCAGAGCTGCCAGAGTCCCAGAAGCAGGAAACACAGCAGAGAGACACACACAACTCATCCGAGTTAAAGCAGGTCCTCGAGTAACTCATTTACAACCAGAATCTGAAAAACTAGAGTGCTTATTTTCTTCCACCAAGTGTCAAGAAGATGCCTTTTTGAATTGTTATATTTAATATTTTCAACTGATTTTAAGTAATTCAAATATAGTTCTGGGACAATGTTTGAAATTTATCAAAAAGCTGCACTGATATTCAGAAATGTCTTTCAGTACAAAATAATAAAAAGAGAAGTGAAGGAAAATAATAGAGAAATGAAGGAAAACTTTCAATCTATTTGCTTTTAAAAGCCAATAGGAAAATGTCAGCAAATTTCAAAACTGACACTGCAATGTTGTGAGAACCCCGAAATCACTTCTCTCACTTTTCTGTACAGTTACCATGTTCCTTCGAGGCTATTATAGATAACCAGACAAAACAACCTGATGAAAACAGAACAGTAAAACAAATGTATTTCCTTGGTTATTTACTTTAAGGAGAAAAATGCCAAGTGGAATTGAAAAGGTTTTCTTTTTAAAAAGTTGTCTCTTTAACTTAGAAGCTAGCATGTTTTAAGTTGGTAACATTTTTACCAACTGTAAATTACATGCTGGGATGGGGGAGAAAAAGTGTCCCCCTAGGGCTGTAAGTTCTAATCAAAATAAGAAAACTAAAAAATACAGATGGGGGTACGGTGGGGTATTTTTGTTTTTTCACACGGGAAATGAGTTCTTGCAAAGAGGAAATGTGAGAGGAATTGTGCAGAGGGAGCGAACGAGGCAGCAAGAGAAAGGAAGAGCAAATAACTGAAACGAAAATAATTCAAGGCAAGATATTTAATCAGCAATTTATATTTAGAGGATTTCCTGGGTTTTTAAAAAGCAACTGGTATAAAATGTTTCCCAAATATTTAATGTGTAGCTAGCACTATGAAACAGCCCGCAGGTCATATATCCCAAATTGTGATGAGTTTTACCTTATTACCACTAACTCCTTAAGTTTGTGTGTCCCCAACTATAAAAATACCTACACTGAAGGACCCTAAGTAATCACTCATGTATGCTTATTTGCCTAACACTATTAAAAGCTCAAATACCGAATAACCAGGTTTCACGTTTGAATTCTCAGTCACCTCAATCTGTCTATAATTTCAAATGAAATGGTAGAAATCAGACACGAGGTAAGAAAAATGCTAAGGAAACAAGCTTTACTTTACTTAGTTTTAAAAGTTCATTTGGATAACTAGTTTTAAGGTGTCTCAAAGAAATGAGAGCTTTGAGAGAGTTCATGCTCTGTCCAAATGCTGCCTCCTGTGCTATTGCCCAAGGAGCACTAAAAATATGATTGAAAATACAATCAGCACTCAGCTAAGGCCCTGCGCATATCATCAAGCTGTGTTCCTAAAGTTACCCCATGCAGCTTTCCAGGATTAAAGCAACTTTAAAAACAGCCACTTCTATTGATTCCCACACAGTGGAAGGTAAACAGGACTGGTTCCAGCCAAGTGTCCAGTCAGAGGTGGCTGTTCCCTCTGTGGCCTCCAGAGGTCCCTGTGGACTTCCCTAGCCAGCACAGAACTGAACTGCACAGCAGAACTGGAGTCCCTTGCAGAGAATTTCAGAATGACAGTGTGCAGGCAGAGATGCTTCAGGGCTCCTGAAATCCCTGCAGGTTATATAGCAAGCTCAGGAGACAACACCCATAGAATCACATGGCCAGTGTGCTCAGGCAGAGGGGTGAAATGGGGGCCACACATCCGGCTGAGACTTCTGGCTTCTAAGTCCTTCAGAGCAGGCCGGGCTTCAGCAGGCTGGGAAGCTGGGGTCTCGAATATGCTACTCTGAGGTCTGGTGAGCATGGGGCCAGACCTGAGCATTTCTGCCTTAAAATGTTCTGTTCTAATAATGCCATAAATACATATAATGTAAAGCACATATAATCATTGATGGTAATTTAGTGTTTGGAAATAGATAATGAAGTTTCATGGGAAGGAAAAAGGAGAAAAATAAAATTCTAAATCTTTAAAAGGGAGTATTTTTCATATGAAATTATCTATGGGGCTATGTAGATGATGTTGAAAGTATTAGAAAATTTCTGACTGATTACAGATGTAGAAAAATCAAAAAAGGGAAAGTGTGTGCAGATTAGAGTTGCTCAGTAACATTTCCTCTGCCTTTTCTAGCTACTAAAAACAGCTTCATTAAAAAGTTTAAAAGCTACAATGTACAAGAAAAACTACAACTTACAACTCTAAAAAACTCATTAACATTCTTTTATTGTAGAAAATATTTATAGCACACAGATGGCTAAAATTTATGCTAACTTGATTTAAATGCTTAATCTCCATAGAATGTGCTTACTAACATAAAACTTTATCCACATTAATTTATACCTTCAATTTGATCATAAAGCTCTGTTTAAATATACTGTGAAGCCTATGGAGCCTTCAGACTAAATCTTCTTTTCACCAGGGTGATGGGCTCTGCTCAGGTCAGTGGAAAGTTTAGGAACCCGAGCCCATCCCCTGGCATGCCTACCTTTGCTTTTTTCATGTTGTAGCAGGTATTGAATCCAAGGCCTCTGCACTGAGCCTATATCCCTAGCCCTTTTGTTTTTATTTTGGGACAGGGTCTCAGTGTTGCTAAGTTGTCCAGCCTATGTTCAAACTTGTAACCCTCCTGGCTTCAGCCTCTTGAAGTGCTGGGATCCCAGGTTATATCCTACAGCCCAATTCACCTTTTTTTTTCATTTCCCCATTCTAGGGCTTGGGTCCTGGTCCTAAACCTGTGTTTGAGGTCCTGCAGACAGACTTACCTGCTGGTGCCAAACTCATGTGGGCCTGGATTTCCAGGATTGTGCCACTGAGCTGCCTCTATGGGCTGGGAAATCAAGGTGCTGTATCAGTCCTCCTCCCAAGGATGCTAGCAAACTGCTCTTGTCATGCTTGCCCCATCCAGGGAGCAGACCTAATCTTCCTCTTCACCTGCCCACAGTTAATCAGATCCATCACAGAAGACAGAGGAAGACATAGTGGCCACATGGCATAATCTACCACTATGAGCAAGACCCAGAGAAGGGAGGACTTAAGAGTCCATCTGCGGGCTCTCTGGTGAAGATAAACAAGCCTTTACGGCAACTGTATATTTTGTACATAGGGCACGGAAAACTGCTCTCAGCCTTGCATCAGATCGTAACTATTACTGAAGCCCACTTAACTGCAATCCATTCTGATGGACCTATGATTGTAAGTGGCATGCTTATTATGTGGCATGCTTTTCAAAGCTTTTAGCATTCTATCTTGAATGATTTAGGAACTGGAATAACTGACCACTTTGAAAGTCATGCCATATAATGATAAAAGCCACCTACCTGAGACCCCTGCTCCAAACTCTAACAAGGCAATCTTATTAATAGACCATCACAGAATGAAGCATTCTGGGTGCCAAATACCGCCAAAGCAGCACCAAGAGGCAACCTAAAAAGAAAAGAAGAATTAGTTTGAAATTTCAAGTCAGACCTACCCTAGTTAATGGCATATGAAACAAACTCTTTATCATCAGTTATTCATACTCATTGTATTTTATTGAAAAATCTATCTTAAATTCTGATAGAAATATTTACAGTACATTGAAATATGAAAAGTAAACATCGATATCTCCAGGTTCGTGTATTTCCCCCTTGCATCAACATTATCTAGATTATTCACATTTTATTCAGTAAACTATTACTCCAAGCTTACTGCCGTTCTCAAATTGGCTGCTTATCTTTTAATATTCTAAATACATCCACTATCTCTATGTAACACAGTTTTCAGAAAAAACTGAGTTGCCCATCTTGTTCTGAGAAATGACTGAGGAGAAATCCTGCCCCACGAGTGTTTTCCTTGGTTTCTCTCTTCCCACAGAAGGATGCAAACCACTGAGTACCCTAATGCAAAGGCAGGATAAAGATTCAGGGTCAGCTTTTAGCTTCATAATGTGACTAACATGTTACTAAGTGAATTCCCAGGGCCAGGTCCATCTTCAGCAACATACAAACAAAAACCACAATGAATTCTGTAGTATGACATATTTCAGCTACCCAAAGCATCCCTGATGGTATAGATTATGAAGTCTTACCTCTAGGTTTACAGTCAAGACAAAAAAGAAATCCCAGGAATTCTGTGCAGAAATCAAGAGTTTCATGTCCCTAAACCAGAGAGTCAATGCTCCATTGTACACAGCTGCCCTTTTACAAAGATAACTATCTGATACTGATATAATAAGTATTACCTATGGTATTAATGTGAGTTTCAGCTGCTACTAATGAACACTGACCCTGTTCCCTAGGAGTATGCAAGCTAGCTGTGGCTGAGAGTATGGCTTTGATCTCTCCCCTCATAAAAAAGAAATAAAACTGTTAAGTAAAATTTGCTATAATGTGGTAGTGGTGGTGATTAGTGTGAAAGATCAACATTTAAAAACAACAAAATAATATTATGTAGGATAAACAAGTACCATAAAAGGTTAAAAAATAAAAAGAATACTAGGGGTCTTGTGTGTGTTATTGCCCTTGAAAAATCTAAAATTAGGGAAGACCCAAAAAGCTGGGCATAGTGCACTCTGAAATCCCAGCTCTCTGAGCAGCCAAAGTAGAAGCTTGTGGCCCGTCTAAGCAGCTTAGCGAGACCATCTAAAAATAACAATTTTAGAAAGGGCTGGAGATGTAGCTCAATCGTAGATTGCTTGCCAGCGTCATTTGGTTCTGTCCTTAGTGCTTCTCCCCAAGAGTCCCCAGAAGGTAGGGTGTGTGTGTGGGTGTGTATCTGGAAAATGGGCCTGACAGAATTAATTACTGTGAGTCAGAACTGTAGATTATTGTGGTTTCTAAGATGACCCTTTGGTGTAGTGTCCTGTAATGTGTAGAGTTTTTAAAGATTCAAATGAATGAATCTTTTGAATCCTTTATGGTCTGAACATGTCACAGTAATGTACTTATGGTAAGAAAGGGGGCAGTTATAAAATGGCTGAGTGGATCAAAACCACTGAGAAATAAATACTTGGAGAGGTAAGGAGGAAGGAAGAAAGAATGCTTGTTCAAACGAGAGAAAGAATTCCAAAGCCAAGACCAAAACCGGAGAAAGTAACATTTCCTCCAAGAAAGGGCACTTAGAGTCTGGCCATTACAAACCCACTGGTCTCCCAGGAAGGGAAAGGAAGACAGTTGGATAGCTTACTTCCACAGACAGAATCCAACCAGATTCCTGATTAACTCGTCCTGGAACTAACACTACCAGAGATGAAAGCAGGTAATTAAAGGAGAAAAAGGGCAAAGAAGAAAAAGGTGACAAAACCCACAAACAGATAAAGCTGTAAAGGGGCACAGAATCACGCTAAAATTCTTGGAAAGCAGTCTCCATGTAGGCATGAAGACTCTCAATGTTAGGTAAGAGGAAACGAGAGACAGAGAGAAGAGAAACATGGGAACAGGAGACCTACTTAGGTGGTGAGCAGAAGACCTCCAGCAAAAGGATGCTTTCTTCCAAAGATCTTACACCTAAAAAAGCATGGAGGGTAGCTAAAGAGGAACTCAGGATCCCAGAGAAGTGGGGAAAATGGAACATTCTTGAAGAAACAGTGCAGAACAGGATTCAGAGAATGAGGGGAACTTTGGGGCACTGCAGACCCAGGAGGGAGGTATGTTTACCCATTTAAGAACAGAGATGTTCAAAGTATATTTTTTATTTATTTTTTTTGAGAAGGGTCTGCTTCATGATCAATTTTAAAATAATTTTTTTTTTTTTTTTTTTTTTTGTACTGGGGATCTAACTCACGACCTCATGCTTGCCAGGCAGGTATTTAAGCTACTGAGCTAAATTCCTAGCCCCTTAGAATAAAACTGATAGACCCATAAAAAGGGTGAAAGTATACATCTGTGTGTCTATATGACACACTAGCGATGTAGCTGTTAAAAATCATGCAGTTTAAGAACTGCATGTAAAAGGGCAATTAATATTAAATCACATGGGAAAGCATGTGTAACTTTAAAAATTTTAACATCAGGGCACACAATAAATGTGGACACTCATGACCCCAAATTTATAATGGATGCACTTGAAACTAGCCCTCTTCCCTGTTAGTATCCTTAGGGTTATACTAAAGTATAAAGACACAGGCTTTATATTTTACTGTATTATACAAATGTCTTTACTTTTATAAATAGAAAAGTTATCTTAGCAAAGTTAATGTTTTTCAACAAATGCTACTGGACAATATGATGTCCACACACTAAGAAAATGAACCTAGAGATGCATCTCACATCATATATAAAACTTTATGTACATCACAGGCTTAAATAGAAAATCTAAACTATAAAACTTCTAGAAGAAAAATACAGAAAATCTGAGTCATTCAAAAATTGATTGTTTATAGTACCAAAAGTACAACCCATAAGATAACAAACTGATAAATCAAATCTCATCAAAATTTAAAACTTTTCTTCAAAAGATACTGTTAAGAGAATGAAAAAACAAAACAAAACAAAACACACACACAATAGAAGACCAGCACAAAACTTTACAAAGTGTATATCTGATAAAGAATTTGTATCCAGAGTAAAGAACTTGGAAAACTCAACAATAAAAAAACAAAGATTTGAAAAATGAACAAATAACTGGAATACCCATTTTACCAATAAAAATATGGATGAAAAGATGGTCACTGGGCAAAGCATATTAATACCACAATGAGATCCCTTTGTGGTCCATAAGCATACCGATATCTACCCACTGGCATGACCAAAATTAAAAACACTACATATCTGACTATATAATGTGCTGATAATGATGTGATAGGAGCAGAATTCCTATTCGTCACTGATATGAAGGTTTGGAAAACAGTTGGGTGATTTCTTGAAAAGCTGAACACATGCCCACCACATGACACAGTCACGTCATATCAATGTATGCACTCAGAGATATGACAATATACACTGTCACAAAGACCTGCCCCTCAGTACTCACAGCAACTCTGTAATAGTCAAAACTAGATACAATGAAAATTTCCATTGTGCTTGAATGGATGAACAAGTTATAGATTCCTATAACCCGCTACTAATTAGTAAAAGGAAACAGTGTTGATGCATACAATAATGTAGATACACCTCAAAATCGCTGTTTAATGAAAGGAGTCTGGAAAGAAAAGAGGTATGTTAGATGATTTCATTTACATAAATGCCTAGGAAATTAAAAATACACCACAGTGACCGAAGCAGCTCCATGGTGATCTTGGGACAGGAGGCGGGCAAGGGAAGGATCATTCACAAGAGCATGAGCAACCGAGAATGACAGGTATCCTCACAATGTTGACCGTGGCGATGGTGTCAGAGATGTATAAATGTGTCCCGAGTGGGAATCTTGCAGGCTTCACATTGTGCAGTTTATAAAATATTAATTATACATAAGTAAAACTCAAAAAAATGGCCAAGTTTTCAGAGTGGAAAAAACTCCAACATTAATAAACATGGGAAACAAATCTACATATGAATTTACTAAAATGTGAAAAAACTGATAAGCTAAAATTCTTTATTAACAGAAATGATTCAAATTGACAAAAATCTCTTCCCCACACAGGAAAAAAACAAAAAAAGGAAAGAAAATGTGAGGTGTATCAGTTTAGGTGCTAGCTGCCTTCGGTCCTTGCTAAGCAGCACACGTAGCGAGGGGGGCAGTTTTAAGGCCACATTCTCAGCTGTCCAACTCGGAGGAAGCAGGGCAGTTCACCTGTTGGTTATGAACTTGTGTATCACACTGCACGGCTTAAGGGCTCCAGGAATACATTCTAACTGGAACTGAGAGCTGTGGATGCTAAGTACTTCTGGGACAAGTTCCACTTATCAAATACCAAAGGAAGTGCCCACTGAAGTGTCTGAATGCAACTTCTGTTACAATCTTTTTAAATGGAGACAATTTATAAAAGATAAGTTTGATATTCTGACTTTACAATGGTACAAAAGTACACTCAGGTAACCCTTTTATCAGTACAGTAACCAATGAACTACAAGCACACTCACTGTGTTACTCAGAAATAAGTGCTGCCCCAAAATGCCTGGTGTGGAATTTAAGCAAAGGAATATCCTCCCGTTTCATACCACAGGTTCAGGAAACAGACACAAAAGAGGAATATTTCATGTAAAAAAGACTGCATTCATACATAACGGAAGCTATCTGTGAAAAATGATTAGTTGAAGCAGTGTAGGCAGGTAAATTTTATGGTGGTCATGGTCACAGACAAACCCAAATTACAACTCAGATAAAACTGACAAATGTGAAGCCACAGTTGTTTTACAACTTATACTGAATAATAATTTGGGCAGTATGTGATTATTGACGATCCAGAGATAGACTGACTCCTGCTTGGGGCTTAACTGCGATTGGTAAAAGATTATAATGTACTTGCAAAGATGTTACAATTACCAAAAACCAGAAAAAAACAGTTA